ATCATCTTCATTTTGAAAGGAGGTGATTGCTGGGAAAATTTTCGAGATTTTCGCACATAGTTGGTAACCGAAAAGTTTGAAATAAGGATCCTCACCTCTCGTTCGTAGATCTTCAACAATTCGAACACTGGTGAAACCATACTCCTGATGTATAAATGCATATGGGTACCAAATCTGAAATGGAAGTATATTCGAAAATCTTTACCTTTTTATATTTACTAACCTCTTGTAAACATGCGCAGCAAATAGGGCTTGCTGCCATTGTTCATTACCAAACAATGGGGCAATGCATGTCACGACGTCATGTTGCTTTTGTACTGGTTCGCGGAAAGGTATCTGCAAGTTTTGAAATTTTTTCTTCCAAGATTTTGATTTTCCAAGATTTTCCAAGATTTTCCAAGATCGAAAGATTTTTTTCCAAGTTAGTGAAAAGCGGCTTGAAAAATTGCAAAAAAAACCGTGAGAAAATTTTGATACACTAATCATTTCTGTCGAAGGAAATAATGAAACAGAAAAACTTTAAAATGCTGATTTTTTCAAAACGAATCAATATATCCCGTTCCATGAACCTTATATGTTATCAACCGAAAAGCGGACTTGATGGTCATCTTTCTTTTTCTGCATTGTTGAGAACTAATGGGAGACCTGTAATGTTTGATAGTTTATAAACTTCATGAAACGAAACTTATTAAGTTTTTCCTCTCTTTTTTTTTTGAAATTTCCAATAAATTCCGTTTCACACAGGTTATTAAACATTAAAGAAAAGGTCAATATGATATTATTTTATCAGCTGATTTTGAAAAAGAAAAGAAATACGGAGAAACTTAGAGCAGAAGTTTTTTTAGAAATATATATCCAATATCTCTTGCTTTTTGATGCTTATAATTCTGAAGCAAAGTCGAACCTCTACTAGCCTATTGCCAACTGATATGGCTATTGAAGTGGGATTTGGTAACAATGGAGCTGTGACAAACATCGAAATCCATCGGCACACATTGTGTGGTGTGATCCTGAAACAAATT